GTGTAAGGTAGCTCTGAAGCTGCTCTGGGAACTGGGATGGCACAGAATCCGCTCCAGAATTGGAGATGGGGTTGCAAACGGGATGTAGGGTTTGATCCACTTTCCATTGACATCACTTCAATGGGAGTTGGATCAGACCCTTAAGAAGGAATATAACAATTGTTAGGGCTGAAAGGAGCTAAAACATTGTTTTGGCCTGCACCCCCACCCAGGCATTGCAGAAACTGTGGGAGATATAACATCTCCCTGATCTGTTTGCAGAGGCGATGTTCCATGTCTGGATCTTCTCCCTTCAGCCATCTGTGCCACCCAGGATCTCCTTACACTGCAATAATCACCTTATGGCAATTTACTTTGGCTTTAAAGCCTCTGTGCTCATGAGGTAGCATAGAGGAGCCTCAACACAGCCAAGGTTCAGGGCCAACATTTTGTTGTATCAAGTGTAAGAATGGAGCTGCCTAGGAAAATGCCCCAGGCCAGCTAGAAATCAGCTGGAAGGTATCAAGTATGTAAGGTGATAAGAGTTAGAATGATGGAAATCATTGTGGGAAGTTATCTTCCACTTTTCATGCAACTCCGTTAAGCCCCAGTTGAGAAAAGCACGGGCTTAACTTCCATGTTCAAGCACTTTGCTGAATCAGGGCCTTAATTTTCTTTTTGAGAGAATGTTAAATATTCATAGAAGGCCTATAAGTGCAAATTGCATGTGAGAGATCTCTGATTCTTAAAGAACCTTTTGTTGATTTGATGACATTATGGAGCAATATATTCCTCTCTGCTCACCTCAGGCTCATTTGAAGATGAATCTGTTGAAAAGCTGTTGAGCTAAACTGGGGCAAATCACATTTAAATATCTCCAGTCTGCTGGAGTTCATGCAACAGTACAGAACATTCCTCAGAAACGTGGACCTTTCAGACACATCGCAGCCACTGAATAAGACACAATGCCATTGTTTGCAGAAGCAATAGGCTGCAATTTGTACTTTTGTTATTTAATATTCATATTGGAAGAACAGTGCTCAGAGACCCCAAAGCAGCATTGGCGCCCAAAAAAATTCATTGGTGAACCACAAACAGTAGCCATGGGAAGTATAAATTATTTAAATCCAAAGAAATATTAGAATAATTAAGCCTAAATCAATGGGATCTGGATCAGGCTCCAGATGCATACTGCATTAGCAGCAAAGCATCTGAAGTATGTTGTGCTGTAGGCAAAATTTAAACAGTGGGTGACATCATCCTTTCTCCCTCCACAGAATCTTGGGGAAGCAGGGAAATAATCAATTTTGGATGTGTTTCACCAGCCGTGTGCTTCCCAGAGAAAGAGATGATTCGTGTGAAGAGTGCATTTATGCCCATATAGACAAACATTTAAAACCTTGATTTGTGGAATGAAATTGATTACGGCAAACTATTTTAAAAAGTGCCCCAGCCTGTGGCTGTGTCTCGAACTGGATGGATGTTCTAGCAGGTAATCAAAAATGATGGAAACTAATAACTGTGCTTAAAACTGAGCAAACCAACCTGGAAAAAACCCACTGATCTACTAGCCTTAATGTGACTTGTGACACAGACCAAAACAGCCAGGGAATTCAGTGTGAACGCTTGGTTCTTACTTAGTACTCGGGCCTCTTTTATTTATGCTGACAAATATTTCTGCTGCTCTCGATGCTTTATCTCTGCTGCATTACTCCAGCCCTCCTCCCCAGTCGTACGACAGTGAACTGGCTTCTGCCTCTGGCATACACACAAGGCCCTGATTCGTTTTTGCCCTACATCTTGTGTAATGAAGTATGCCTGTGCAAAGTGGGTGTAAAAGGCCACCTGTCATGCAGTGGCTGGCCCCTTTAAGAGAAATTGGGCATAGCCCCAGCTGATGCGGTGAGGCCAGGGATCAAGTGATAGCTTGAAGATTGCCTGAGGCTAGACCCACAAAGGTGACTGTAGGCATTACAGTGTCTTATGCTTAGGCAAAGCAAAATCCATAGCCCTGAGTTAGGTGCCTAAGAAAGGGATTCACAGAAACCAGCAAGCTGAGAGGGGCAAACCTTGGGCTGCCCCTCAAAGGTAGTAAGGACCCCAGTTCTACTCAGGATTCATCACTGTGACCCCTCTCCTGGATTTAGGCACCTAAACTAGGTCGGTCATGTCTCAGGGAGGGCGAGGGTCCATCCTACCCAATTCTATCCAACAGCAGTTAGGCCAATCTCCTGAAACATGGGAGACCCGTTTGCAAATCCCTATTCCGACTGATCTGGAGTGCGGCCTTGAACCCAGATCTCCCATAGCCTAGGTGAGTGCCCTCACTGTCAGGGTATTGGGTATTCTGTGGTTGGTGTGTCTCCATCTCTGCTGTTGCAGTGTGTATAAATAACTTTTTCACTGGGCTAGAGAGAGAGAACATGAGCAACTCGCTGTAGCCCAGTTATTAGGACACCCCTGGGATGTGGCAGCATGAGGTTCAAATCCCTCCTCGAAGCAATGTAAATGACCACACAAGGCGGCGGAGTATCAGTGCCAGAGTTTCTGCATGCCTCATCCTATCCACAGTTTCTACACTCCACATACAAAGCTTCCAGAAACCTTAACTGTAGTCTGGGAAAGAAAATGCCATGAACTGATGGGCAGCTGATCTCTGGCTCTACCTCACAAGGAAAGTTTAAGTATAGTAAACAAGCAATAGATTCCCTCATCCATCTCTTCCTAACAAGCATGCGGAAGTAGTAATTGTCCAATGTCTGTCACTAATTTGCATTCGCATCATGTGTTTTGAGCCCTTTTTGCAGACCATGATTAAAGATATGCAGAGCTAGCCCTCCTGCAGGCAAATTATGTGACCCCTGCTACAGGAGTGCCATCCTATTTACATTTTTGGAACAAATGTGATGCATTTCATTTTCCTCTACTCCTTCCCCAGCAGCCCTAATCACCTGGCTCTTACATTCTGCAGTCATGTCTCACGTCTCTGGGTGAAGATAGGGATATCCATCTTGATGAGTGATAGTTTAGCATTTGCCAACATTTCAGTCTCTTGGCTGCTACTGTCCTCAAATTAAACAGAGGGTCAATCGCTATTATAAAGTTTACACACACAGGAGGAATATGTATGTAGAACACATAGCTAATTTCTGAACGAGGGGCCATCTCCTGAGAGAGGTGCCAAGTCCTCACAACTCCTATTAAATTTTCACTTCTATGGGAGTTTTTTAGGGGCTCAGGCCCTAAACTGTGTGTGTTTTATTGTGCTGTCCTCAATCGTATTGCCTAGCAGAGCCGAAAACATACGGACGCTTTAATTGTGACAGAAAAGTCACAGAGGTGTATTTTCTATGGTTAAAAGCTGGGCCCATGCTGCATGATAGTAAGGCACACATTAATTCTCACTGTCACACAAACCAATCTGCATTCCCCCTGCAAGTGAAACCATTCCTCACCCTTCCAAACAGCTCTTGGTGTTTCTTTTGTCTCTCTTTTTCACCTGCTCTAGAACCGCTGAAGTTTCTACACACCTTGTGGAACTGCTGAGGGGTAGAGGGCATGGATTGAAGGGGTCTTGAATTGGGGTCTCCCACTAAAGAAAATTGATATAGTTTGTGAGGTTGGGAGTAGAGCTGGTTGGAAAATAGTTCTTTTCCCCCTGGGTGAAGTCAACTTTGAAAACCGAAATGCTTTAATTCAAAATTGTGGTGCTTCATGGGAGTTGTAGTTGGGGTGCATTATGCTCCCATTCTCCTCTATGGGCTGGGCTCTCTGGCCAGACTACTTGTCCCATGACGCACCATTTCCTCCCCTCTTGGTGTGGGGAGAGGGTGCATGATAGGAGTCCCTGGACGTGATGCACAATGGGAAATGTAGTCCCACCTGAGAGCCCATAGAGGAGAATTGAAGCATAAGGCACTTTAACAACAATTCGGATGAGGCACCACAATGACATCTTGAATAAAAATATTTCAATTTTGTGTTGAAAATCAAACCCCCTCCAGTTTTTAGGCATTTGGGTTTTTGATGAAATATTGAAATTTTCCACAGAAAGCAGACATTTTTCTTGTAAAAATCAAAAACCCAAATTTCCAACAAAAAAGAAGTTTGATGGAAATTTTTTTCCACTGGCTGTAATGGGGAGTATTGTCTTCTCCCCTTTCCCACCTGTGCCCAGCTGACCATTGGGTGGTCTGGCAAGAATGCAGTCTAAGGGGCTCATAGTCTCTGAAAGTCCCTCCCCTTGCTTGACGGATAACCAAGAGAAGATGGCTCCCTCCCAGATCTGAGGGACACAATAATCATTGGCAGTATTATCTTCCACTCTGCCTCTGAGTAGCTGGGCTGATTTGAGTGGCCCTAGTTGTAGAAGCCATAGGTCCCCCTCACCAGTGGGTTACAATAACACTTGTGCAACTACCTCAAAAGCATTGATTGGCCCATCAGATATGCACAGCAGCTTCATGGCATGAAATCCAGCAGGGATCCATTCCAGAGATACTCCAAAGACAGGCTTTTTCTCTGTGTTACACTGAGAGAGTCCCGTTTTGTGACAGTACATCCAAGTGTCTACTGTATCTTTGTAACCCATGGTTACAGCACTCTCCCTCATATCAATACACTGATGAAAAGAAACAGAAAAAAAAAAACAGCTTCCAGAATTCTTGGGCCATTGTTATTTATTTATTTATTTATTATTAAACGACTTCAATCTTCTTTTCTTATAACAAACCAAACAAATTCTAGGTGCCAACCTATCCACAGCACAAGTGCCAAAGTACTATGCATCAAAAGAGAGGAAAGACCAGTATACCTGTGCTCCTCTGTAGCACTTACCTTTCCAACATGATTAGAAGCCCAGTAGTTTTAGCACTTCATGGCATTTTCTTTTAGCATGCAAGGACTGGTGCCTGGGACATTTGTTGTAAGCGCACAGATGTTATGCTGTCATTTAAGAAATAATAATAATTTGACTCAAACAAACTGTTTTGGTAAGAATCCATGTTTGCTTTTGTTTTTAGGTGAAAGAAGCTTCTCATGAACCACAGATGGTGTTTACAGCTCGCCACGCGACTATCACTTTCCAGACAGATGGAGAAACATGGAGGGAACAGAAAGAGAAAAAAGCAGCTCTGATGGTTGGCATTTTAATTGGAGTTTTTGTACTTTGCTGGATACCTTTCTTTATCACAGAATTAATAAGCCCCCTCTGTTCCTGCAACATTCCACCGGTCTGGAAAAGCATCTTTCTCTGGCTTGGCTACTCCAATTCTTTCTTTAATCCTCTTATTTATACAGCATTTAACAAAAATTACAACAATGCCTTCAAAACCCTTTTTGTAAGGCAGAGATAAAAGAGGGATGGTTACATTACCATGTAATACACTGACTTAGCAGAGGAAATATGTGCCTGTGAAATGTCTGATTGTAAAGGGCAGCCCCTATCTTAAGAGATTTTGCAGCAGTGGAGAACTACACCGAACACCTGTTTGTTGGGTCATAAACCTACTTACCTTGTACGGTCTCCCATTGAAATGCATGTACGCTGAGCTGTACTGAAGAAAGACGATGCTAGAAGACTGAAGGGGTGAATGTTTCCTTTCTCTAGGATTTGAATCGATTTGTGCTAAATTCTGGAAGAAGTTAATTAAAAACATCTAGCATCACACTAATCCAATCTACCCAGACTAACCCTATCCAGCCAACTATTGCTGCCAGGTAGTAGAATCTTCTTAATGGGCACAGGCATCAATGGAAACTCTGCCACTTAAGCAATAGCTCTGAGTGATTGGTGCACGACCCTGCTGCTAGTTTAATTTTAGGAATGTCTTGGGGGGGGGGGGAGACAAATGCACTTTGATATCATTTTTGGTAATATTTGAATAAAATAAATTGGACTAAGTTAAGCAGCCCTACTAGAGCAAGGACGCAGCCTGAGGTGAACCAAGGGCACAGCACTCGTGCTAGCAAGCATTCGTCCACTTCTATAAATTATAATTAAAGGTGAACCCTGAGTTAACTGAAACTGAAGGTCAATTATGTCCCTTTAGGTTACAGGAGTGGAGTTTTACGGCCAGATCCCCAATTGGTGTAAATCTGCATCATTCTCATCGAAGACTTAACTTTCATAGAATTAAAACTGGAATGGGGTGCTCTGCTTTTCAGGGAATGTACAGAACTAGAGATTTGTCCTCTCTTTTATACACCACTCTTTGGGAAGGTCAGAGGAAACATTGCCCAAGCTCACAGCTCAACACTGGGCGAGTTCAGCCAGAGTGGTTATAGGGGTATTGTAGTCATCTCAACCCCATGCAGGCCATGGGCAGCTAGGATACCACTGTACTCCACCCTAGTCCAGCACAGAACTTCAGAGGGACTTATATATGCCCCTCTTGAACGTGACGGAAGCACACACTCCTCAGTGGAAGACTGGTGTTTCATGAAGTTCTGGGATAGCGGCTCTGGCTTGCAACACCAAACTCAGAGCATACTAGGCAGGTCCAGGGAGAGACCTCAGGACGCTAACTAGAATCCAAGTATAAACAAACCTCCAGCCGAATGCTTTCCTTGTTCTCTGTAGTACTTTTAAAATCTCTTTACTGCCATAACCACTTAGGAGTTAACTTTAAGCATTAGAAGAGAAAGGAAGACACGTCTCTTGTGGCCTTTCTGCTCTAGCTGATATTTAGATCTAAAGTAGATGGGAAGAGAAGCAGAAGAATTATGCACAAGGACCACGGGTGGGAGTTGAAGAGCATAAGTCCACCAACATTCTTCCCTTTCCTCTTGTGATGCCTTGGGTTAGTTATGGTCTGCTGGCCCATCACTTTAAATGCGAGGAGCTATTAATAGAACATTTTCAGGCCACACTGCGGCTCTAAGTCTGCTGACTTTCAAGGCATACCGGAAAGTTTCTCTTTTTTTTACAGATTTTCTCCCCAAAGAGTGTGGGAATTTTTGGTAAGAAATTGAGATTCCGCTTTCTGTCAAGAGTGGGGGGAAAGGGAGCTAGATCTTCAGTTGGTGTTGTGCCACTACACAGAGCCATGTAACTGATGTGTTTTTTTAATTGTACATGCACTGATAGTTTTCTGATCAACACATTTTGTAAATTAAAAACAACAACAATAATGAAACTCTCTCTCTTTGTGATCATTTGCACTCTGACAGCTCCTACTAAAGGGAATTACTGGATTCTCTATTTAAAAGTCAAATATTTACACAAGGCATGTTGTTTAAAGAAAGAGCCTAACAAGTGATAGTTCACATGAGTATTTCCGTCCCTCCTTCATTTAAAGGTGACAATCTTTAGGCTCCATTATCTACTAACAAGTAACTTTTCCTCATGAGCTGTAGTTGGTATCTACAAGGAAGAAAGGATTGGAGACAGTTTTTAAGCGTTAGAGCAAAGGGCCAGGAGCGTGTCATGTAGGTTCTATTCCTTGCTCTGAAAGCAACTTTCTTATGACCTGAGACAGCCACCTAACTTTTCTGTGCCTCAGTTTACCATCTTATTGAACTGATATAATTATATCAGGAGTATTGGGAGGCTTGAAAGGGCTGCACTGTACTATACAAATCCAGAGTTGTTTTTATATAATGGTAGTGGCCTAGGGACCTTATCTGAGACTGGGACCCCATTTTGATGGGTGCTGTACATATACAGAAGAGACAGTCCCTGCCCAGAAGAGCTTGCAATCTATATAGATAAAATTGACAAAGTCAGAGAAAGGGATTATTAATCCCATTTTACAGATGGCAATTGAGGCACAGATGGACTAAGGGGCAGATTTTAAAAGATATCTAGGCACTCAAGGATGCAGATAGGTGCCTAATAGGTGCTTTTGAAAATCTTATCTCCATCTTTAGATGCTAAAATACCTTTTAAAAATCTAGCCCTAAGCAATTTGCCCAGACTCCCACAGGAAGTCTGTGGTGGTGCAGGGACTTGATGCTTCTGCTCTCACTTGCACCAGATTTACATTGGTGTATAACTCAGTGTAGTTCTTTTTGCTTTGTACTGTTGCGAGATCAGAATCATGTACTATCGATAGAGGAATTGTCTTAGTGCTGTGCTACCATTTAAAAAAAAGCTCTATTATAAAAAAAGTCTGGTACTAGCGTTATGTGCCTGTGTTTAGAAGGACAACAGCACATGTCCAGACTTGGAGAACAGATGTTAAGACTTTTTAATTCATTTATTAAATCAGCCATCCAATAGAATCTGAGCTGAGAGCAAAGGGGATGTGTTATATGGGGCTTATGTTAACATATATGTTATATATGACATAGCCCTGCTTCTCACCATCAGTTTTATAGATTTTTAAAGCCCTCATCTTCAGTTGACTTCCTGCAGAATGCAGGCCACAGAGTTTCACCCAGTAATTCAGGCACTGAGCCCATAACATGGTAGAACTAGAGTATCATTAGAGAACCCTTTAGTCTTAATTTAAAGATTCCAACTGGTGGCTAATTTACCCCATCTCTTGGTGATCTGTTCCAGTTATTAGTTACCCAAATTTGCATTTTTATTTCAATTGAAAGAAAAGGGAGAAGACGATGATGAAGCATGCAATTGGTTCTCCTCTCCTCCACTTCAAGTGTTGCATAGAATTCACATAAATTACTACTGTGTTGTTACCCTTAGCTCCAGGATGGATTAACGAATGTTTAGCAGCACAGGTCCCAGCATGTACATCTAAAAAGGTTAAAACAGCTACTCTAAAGCAGTGGTTCCCAAACTTTAACAACCTGTGAACCTCTTTTACTAAAATGTCAAGTCTCACAAACCCCCTCCTAAAAATGAGTATTTCCAGGGATTTTCTCCTCTACCTGAATATAAATTATAAAAGCATTGATCTTGGAAATATAAAATTTGTTATGTCCTGCTTATTACACATGCTATTATTTATCATTACAGTATTTTCATTACATTATGAAAATGGCAACACTCTTCCAAGATTTCACTTTCGTAGCTTGTATCACTTTGAATAAGCCTGTTATAAGACAAATCAGGCAAACTGTTCTCCTACAGCAACACATATATTAGTGGGCCAAACTAATTAGAGTTACTGAATTGTGAATTAAACCCCTAGAGGAATCTACTAGTATACAATAGATTTGCTAGAAATCTTTTAAGTCTTACTTCACAATCCAGAGGCAGGTTTTTATTTTTTAAACTGTTGAATTAATCTTCAGCATGAATGATGGGGCAAAGTGTTAAGAAATTGGCTCCACAATCCCTAGCAGCTAGTTTAAGATTTCTCTCTCTCTCACCCAGCCCCCACACCCCTATGGGCTTGTACTTTTGAGAATGGAATTTTTAATTGACTTTTCCTGATGACAAAATGTGGACCCAAAGTTTAGATTGTAAAATATTTCCTAAGTAGAAATTGATTCTCATTCAGTGTGTTCATTACAATTCTCATTTGTATTTCTATATACGTTTCCCTTGCCATCATCCATTTTGGATGTACAAAAAAATCAAACATAGGGGAACAGGTATACTGGTCCAAAGGTCCATTTAGCCCAGCATCCTGCCTCTGACATAACCAGAAAAAGATCTAGGAGCTCAGCAGATATGAGATAATCTACCTCCACCTAGGGGCAGATTTTACTCATCAGGGTTAACCACTTGGAAGATCTAATTCAGACTTGCATTTTGCAGAACTGCTTCTTGTAGCTTGCAACAGTCTTATGTAATCTGATTTTGAGTTTTGAAGTAATGGTTCCATTTCCCATGGGAGTCTGCTTGACTGTTCAATTGATCTTTCGGTTCAGATCTTTTCTTTAATGTCTAATCAAACTTTGCCTTCCTTAGCTTCAAACCATTGCTCCTTTTCCTACGGTTTCCAGAGACTAAAAATATTTCATTCCTTCATTTATTTTGTAACCTCTGAGGTATTTATAGACTGATCACATCTCCCCAGATCTTCTCTTTTAAAGCCTATAATTTACCTCCCTTACTCTCACCACTCCTCTTATCAGTTTCGTTGTCCTTTGTACATTGTCTGACTTCCCTATTATCTTCCTCAACCCTGGATCCAATACTGCTGCTGTTTAGTCCACCATCTTGCCATGACAGTCCAAAGAGGATTTCCCTTACATAAGTAAAGGACACACACTATGTATGTAGTAATAAAACAACAGAGGGTCCTGTGGCACCTTTAAGACTAACAGAAGTATTGGGGCATAAGCTTTCGTGGGTGAATGCC